ATTATATATTATATATAAAACATTTCTGACTAATGTAGTCAAATTTTAAATATGAAAAATGAACACAATTAGCCTAATTATTTCATTTTATCCTCAGAATGGTCCTGTGAGATAGTGATTATTATTATTTCTACTTTAAGAGAAAAGAAAACAGAGCTGCTTAAGTCCAGTGATTTGACAAATAGCTCAGCTGGTAGGTGGCGTCCATGAATTGCAGCAAAGCGTTTGGCAGATTTTTTTTGCCATCCACCCTTAAGAAACCTAGCTAGCTTCAGATTTTGATTGTATTACTTAACAGCATGACGTTAGACACATTATTTAATCTTTAAGCCTTAATCTTCACATTCATGAAATGGAGACAATAAATCATTTAAATCATAATGTCAATCGAGAATTAAATGAGACCACGTAACTTAGGTTAGCAAGTTAGGAAACCATGTGATGTTAGCTATGGTTAATGTATTTTTGGATAATTACAAAAGGGTGTCACCACAGTTGATCTTTCGTGACATTAAAATGATGTTGCAGAAAAAAGTGAGTTAAATTAGGAGCTTGATAAAAGCTATAGTCACTTCTAAATAAAAATGCAAGGATTAAAAGGCAAATATGTCAGCCCAGTTATTTCCCTTCCCTCTCTCTGATCCAAAATAAAGAACATTTATACATCATAATTGTTTGTTTAACAAAGAGAAACATCTTATATGTTTTATCAAGCACATAAAATACATGTTAAGGTATTAAATGTCCACAATGGAATTTCTCTTCTCAAGACGAGAGGTTTTTGTCTCCTATTTACTGATGTATCCTAAGCACACCAAGAAAGTATCTAACATTTAACAGGTGCTAAATATGTATTGAATTATAGCAAATAACAAATACATAAACAAATGTGTGTGCATGTGTATAAACTGGATTCTCTTTCATCCTACACAGCATACAATAATAATTAAAAGTTCTTATTTGTAACATTTTTATAACATTTTCAGTATTCCTTTCTTACTATCTATCTTTAAGAATAGAATTTTTGATTTGCATTTCTCTGATGGCCAGTGGTGATGAGCACTTCTACATGTGTCTGTTGGTTGTATACCTGATGTAAATGACGAGTTGATGGGTGCTGATGAGTCAATGGGTGCAGCACACCAACATGACACAAGTATACATATGTAACCACAAGTATACATATGTAACAAACCTGCATGTTATGCACATGTACCCTAGAACTTAAAGTATAATAATAATAATAAATTAATTTTAAAGAAAAAGGCAGAAAAAAAAAGAATAGAATTTTTAAGTTGATGTTTACATGGGATATTCAAGTTCACACTGAAGTATGATAAATCCTTCCCAAGCCTTTCAATTTCAACAATAAGATAGGCAACATTTTTTTGTCTTGTGGCAGGATTAGAGAAAACCATTCGAAAAAAATTTACTTTGTCTCCACGTGGCTGGTAGTTTATCATGACTGTGCCTTCCATCATCATCTGTGCTTTAATCTTTGGAGCAATCTGTATGTAAATGTAAATATTATTATAAAGAAGTTTTACAAGCAAATACTCTTCCATATTCCAGATGGCTACATAACTGTCATTAGCTTCAAGTAAATTGTAGGCAATTGAAAACCATCAGGGATAATTTTTAAGAAGTAGCTTAGTACAAAAAAAGCAGCATATTCTGTATTCATATTGCAACTCTCATTACCCCATGATTTACAATTACCAACCATAAAGTAATATAAACTTGCTAGACTGCATTAAAGAAAGGCATGTGCCATTTCCTTATAGTTATATGACAATTCAAGTAGAAGTACCTGGGAAAGAGGTAAAATGAAATAGAGAATGGAAAAATATTATCATGTTTTAGCATTATTTGAATCATTATTGTATATCTTGAGTTTTCCTATAAGGTCACTATTTTGTGGCAAATATAGTTTCTTTGTAAATTTCATAGAGACAAGCTCTATTTAATTGTCTTGTTCAGCTCCTAAAATGGCATCATGCAGGTAGCGTTACAGCACATTAAAACAACTTTGGCTACTATATAGGGCAAAGTGACACCAGCACTCAGAAAAGCCAAAGATGGTGTTCTATAAGTACGCAATCTGCAAACAATTTACCTTTAAATGTTACAAATGCTATCCATATTTAACTTTCCTATAAGACTGAAGACTGATGGCAGTGCAGAAGCAAATATACATATTTATGCATGTGTAAATATATACACACATACAATTATATATATATACACACATACAATTCTATCATTCAAGAGTCAGGAATTTTGTTTGGTTTCCTTCTCTAATTAATATTTTATTAAATATAACAATACCATATTGGGTATTTTTTAGTGTCTATAATATTGTGAGAAATTGTTTAATAGTCTTGGCTTGCCCTCCAGTCAGGAATACGTGTAGAACTCTAAGAGGCTGAGTGGTTTGGGTGTGCCTCTAGAAGCCACCTTGCTTCTGGCTAACTCAGCTGGTGGTAGCTACCCTAGTGGAAGGTGACATGTATATGCTTAGGAAAAAAAAATAAGACCTTCACTTTGTCCTTGCCTCAAACCATAACATATTTACATAACAGTACTGTGAAAAGCAAAAAGGAAAACAAAAACTCCATTTTCCCTTACAAGCCCAGTGAAACTTGCTAATGATGATAGAAAATTTTGATGGCCTTAATGTCAGACAATTTTTTTTCAACTTACCTTACGGCAACTCAAATTATGTAAAATACGTGGTTGACCTATCAGCTAATTCAGAAAGTGGTAGTAATATTATAAAATAAGTATTATGATACATGCTTAAGATTAGGCAAAAGCTCATATTAAATATATGGCTAAATAGCATACAATGGTGATAATGTCCACTTTAAATAAGACAATACAGATGAAATATTCTCATTCTATGACATTCATTTGAATTCTTTTCAGTATTATTAATGGATCTATAATAAAATATCAGATTCTTGCTCAATTTATGATAAAAATTTTAAAATTGATAACATTTTGTTAAGTATCTCTTCTATTTTCCTTTGGAATTGTAGTTATCTATACTTTTTATTCTCTCCCACTAATCTTTCAAGCCAACTAAGGACAAGGATTCTGTCTTATTCATTTTATAACTTTCAACTCCTACCAGCACACCTGGGAAATATTAACTAATGAATAAATTAACCAAAGGGTATGAATTTCAGCTGATTGCATATTAGGCATTGAAATATTTTTTTCGATATATAACTAATGACTGCATTAATTTCAAAATGACTAATGGGTTATCAACCCATTAATCAGTGAGTCCCATATAATTATTAAACCAGTAGCTTGGAATCATATGACCACCAATCCACTAACCAAACTAAATAGACCCATTAAAATTAGAATTAAAAATACCACATACCAAATATTAAAAAAAAAAACAAACCCTTACCTTTTAGAGTTCTTGATGTCTTTCAAAATCTTTTGGAATACTTTTAAGCCTTGCTGGGAAATACCAGAAGCAGACATTAGTGAACTCACACTAAATCAAAGAAAAATACTTTACAAGTATCCATAAAAACTCCATTATTTCAGAAGTACTTTAATTTATTTCACTTAATGTTTATATATTTAAATAAAGGGTTTTTTCTGTGCTTAGCACATGCCAAGGCCTGGATTCAGAGATAAAAGAAGCAGCTACTTTCCTCAGAGAGGGCCTAGTCTGGCATGGGATCTGCTTGTTTCTCCAATAATTCTTAAGGATTTTCGTATCTGTGTGATCATCTTCCCCATATTCTGGTTTATGAATTCCTTCAAATTTCCATTCATCCATGCCATGACCATTACTTCAACTATTTTAAACAAATAATGGTAGCATCAGTTTTGTATTTGAGAAAGATCACTCAAGTTGAAGTAAGGATAACTGATTCGAGGGAAGTATTATTGAAGATAGGAGAATATTAGTAAACAGAATGTTCTCATCATTCAGGAGAGAATGAAAAGGACTTCACTGAGGGCATAGCCATAGTGTAGATAGGAGTGCTTCCATTTCCAAAAGCTTCAAGGGAGAGAATTCATCAGCCTGATGACCAACGTCAGGCTTTCAAGATGAATTCAAGGGTTCTGGCTTAGATGACTGAGTGTCATTCACATAGACAAAGGATGAAAGGGAACTTAAGTGAGCTATCAAAGCTTATTTCAGAGAGGAAATTAAACTGTCAGATTGTGTGTAGTATTAAAAAAAAAGTTTAGTTTCCACTTAAAGCAGAGGAATAAGCAAATATTAAGATAATAACATACAGCGAGACAATTTAGAAGATAGACAAGGTACCTTTGTTTCTTAATAGTTACTCTTATTAGAACGATTTACTGTGTGCCAGTAGAAGGTTTATTGAGCCTTAAAGATTGATATACCATGTAATGCTAGCAAAATTCTCAAATCTATCATTAATATCAGCTTAGTGACTTGATAACAATGTACCAAAGATTATTATAATTTAAAGCCTGCCTTCTCTTATATTATCTACTGTCTAGAAATGCAATTGCCTACTCCAAGATACAAAAACAAAAAAAAAACAAAAAAAAACTAAGAACAATTAAATTACATTTTATTTAGTGCCAGAGATGCTGGAAACACAGTTAAAAGCAAACAGTTTCATTGTTTTAAAAATGTAAATATTGAATGTACTTATTAACGTAGTCTTTTGGACTCTTTGCTTGTAAGACAAAGAACTTAAATTAAAAATGTTTTAAAACCTAACTTACATGAACTCAGGTAAAATAAAATACTTACAATAATTAAGTGTACCCATAAGGTTCTCCCAACACATAAGATAAGTAGTAGATTCAGATAAAAATACTCAGAAAAGAAAATAGAGATCCATTAAATTATCTCAAAAATTAAATAAATAAAAAGCTAAGAGTTCTCCTTACCTCTGCATCAAACAGAAGCTTAAAGTTATCTTTTTTCTTTAAAACCTTATAGAAGTATTTTGCAAGTTCCATATATCTGTTGATTTGTCCCTCAAAGCCAAGGGTTCCCTGTAATTTTAAAATAAATCAAATCAAAGGTTCAATTTAAGTAAGAACTTTAAATTACCTTCAAGATGTTCCTCAAATTTATTTAATGTGCTTTAGTATCTGTGAAACTCAAACTCATATATTCAACTACCTATTCAAAGCTCTACTTTGGTGACTAATAACATCTTCCTGAGGACTAATAACATCTTAAATGACATGTTCAAAACTGAAATCTTGATGTTTCTATATGCAACTTGTTTCTACCAGTCTTCTCAATCTCAAAATATGTAAATTCTACTTTCAAGTTTCTAAGGCCCAAAAGATTGCAGTTGTTCTCACCCTGGACCCTCCTCTTTTTCTCACACTCCACACCTAATATTGTGGCAAATTTCATTGGGCTTACTTTTTGATATGGTTTGACTCTTTCCCCACGCAAACCTCATCTTGAATTGTAGCTCCCATAATCCCCACGTGTCGTGGAATGGACCCAGTAGAGGTAACTGAATCATGGGGGTGGTTACTCCCATGCTGTTCTCATGATAGTGAGTGAGTTCTCACGAGATCTGATGGTTTCCTAAGGGGCTTTTCCCCCTTCACTCGGCACTTCTTGCTACCACCATGAGAAGAAGGTCATGTTTGCTTCCCCTTCCGCCATGAGTGTAAGTTTCCTGGGCCTCCCCAGCCATGCTGTCACTTAAACCTCTTTCCTTTATAAATCACCCAGTCCTGGGTATGTTTTTATTAGCACCATGAGAATGGACAAATATACCTTCAAAATCTAATTAGAATTTGATATTTCTTAACATATTCACTGTCACTATGTAAGCCTAATCACTCTCTGCTTCATGACTGAAACTGCTTCCTGACTGATCTTTCTGCTTGCGTCCAAGATAGACTGCCCATGTTGAGGCCGTGCCATTCACATTTACTTTAGGCTTATGTAGTGTAGACACTTTCCAGTCCTATGAGGTGGTACTTGAGTATATTCTCAGTACTTAAGTGATCTTTGTGATCAAGGTTTGCTTTATGGGTGTACAAGCTACACAGTTGCACAGGGCTCCCATACTCAAAAGGGTTTCATATCAGTTGAAAGATCTGCTATCACAGTTCTGAAATTCTTTAAAGTTTTATTTTGGGCTTGCGTTTTGTAAGCAGAGTCCAATGGGACAATGAAGCATGCACATAAGCTAAGGATATACATGCAACATAAATGTCTACCGTGTTTTAACACCTCATTTATACATAGCATTTGCAATGCACCATAAGCATAGAATTCCAGTGGACTCATGATACCTAGGAGCCCAGTCACACTCATTGTCAGTGCAGTGTAAGCGTGTTGCATCTACAACATACAATACAGTAAGTGAGGATGCTGGGAATCCCAAAAGGCCACACTTTCTGTTTAAACTAGGACTTGTTTCTAATGCAGGAAGAAAGCTGTAATGTTCTAAGAAACATTAATAGTCAAGTAACCCTTTTCTATCCATTCTTACTTGTGTTACTTCCCTGTGTTAACCATACTCACCCCCACTCTGGCCACACTGATATCCTGTTGTGCATTATACAAAGTAGGCGGGCTCTGTCTCAAAGTTTTTAAATTGTGTTTCCTTTTAGCTATGCTTCTCCTAAATGCAGCATTACCTCCTCTTCACTTTTTTGAGATTTTTGTTGAAATATAACCTTTTATTGGCGATGATCATTCTATTTAACATTATAAATACTCATCATCCCTAGCACTCCTTATTCTTTTTTTTTTTTTTTTTTTTTTTTGAGACGGAGTCTCTTTGTTACCCAGGCTGGAGTGCAGTGACACAATTTCCGCTTACTGCAAGCTCCGCCTCCTGGGTTCATGCCATTCTCCTGCCTCAGCCTCCCAAGCAGCTGGAACTACAGACACCCACCACCACGCCTGGCTAATTTTCTTTTTTTGTATTTTTAGTAGAGATGGGGTTTCACCGTGTTAGCCAGGATGGTCTCGACCTCCTGACCTTGTGATCCACCTGCCTCCCAAAGTGCTGCGATTACAGGCAACTCCTTATTCTTTTTTAATGTCTTATTTTTCTCCCTAGGAAATAGGGATATATATATATATATATATATA